AAGTCAGATCATCACCCTTAGCTATTTTAATTACCTCTCAAACTACCTAAACTAGTTATAAATATGTTTATTTTTACTGTCGGGTCACTCATTACTGGATCAGCTGCTGCATGAGACAGAGACTGACGCTGTCAGAAGAGAGGGAGGAAAAACAGAGGCTCCGTGTATTTTATTATTACATTCGTTATTCATTTGTTTTAAAGCTCAATAAATAGCAAAGACCGGCACTTTAAAATTTTGTCCGGAAGATTTAAACTAATACACGTTGACTGGCGAAAAACTCTGCCCGGTTCCCTCGGCCCCCACCGCAGAGAATAAACAGAAGAAGGGCAACCATGACAACCATGCTTCTTCGCTGCTTTTGTGGAGGAAGTTACAGCGCCACGTACAGGCTCCTGCATATGTACTGCAGCTTCTCCAGCGGTTGGAGCTAAACGGAGCTGTCTCGTGTGGACAAACACTCTCCGGTTAACATTGTGTGTGGACGGAAGCTTTTTTGCGTTTGCGTTAATCCTATGCGTTTAGCCGTATGCGTCCTCGTGTGGCCGGGGCCTAACTTATGGCAACACAAAAAAAAAGGTGGGAGCAGTGGATTGATGTCGGTGTTCTGGCGATTTACTCGGAAGGCTTCAGTCGAAGCTGCTGGGAGTCCCAGCAGCTTCTACTAAAGCCGTACCCAAATCTCTAAAAACGGGGGTACAACGGAGCTGATCCAGAATTGCTGCTGATATGACGTAAATCACGATGTCTAAAATGCATGATCTGTTTGGTATTTTGAGCAAAACACATCATAGACATGATTTTTATATATTTGAGACTCATAATATATGCCTAAAAATAGCCTAATAGGAGACATTTAAAACACTGATGAGAGCACACTATTCCCCCGTGTTTCAATTTCCATTAAGGTACCCTGGCTGTGATTTTTCATACAAGTAAACAAAGTGCTATTCAGCTAATGTTTCTTGCAGAAATGAATCATCCCCTGAGGTCGAGTGCATTTTATCCTCCATAGAACACTTGATAACAGTGTACTTCTTCTTTGCCTTTTGTTGGCTTATTTATTTAAGCAAATGCATTAGTAATAAAGGGGGTTTTAAAATCAATGTTACTTGTGTCCTCAAGTGGCTTATTGAGAGAGTTAAACATCATCTGCTGAAACCGTCTTAAAGTTCAAAGGTTTAAACGTTTTTATTTGTCATATACTCGATAAATATCGTTTGCAGGCTTACTTTCTATGTACGCAATACACACTTAACATAACAGTTAAAGATATAAAAATAGTGCCATAGCAAAATGGTTCAAGTAATTTGAAACGTGTGTACATATAAACGGTACGGTATAATAAATACTGTTAACTGTAACAATATATAAATCAGTGGATATGAGGGACAAACAGATACACAAATAACCAGCATATTATTAATATGCGTAAGTGGTGACACTTCACAGAGCTAAGGAATTGAACAGAAACTGTCCCTGAGTCTGGTGGTTTGGTTCAGATGCTGCAGGACCCAACAGCTTGTTGCTGTGGAGATCTGACGAATACAGCTTTGTTTTTTTATTTATTCTGTCAAACTACCTCTAAAGATACTCCAAAGAACCAGTCCCACTCGGAAAGATGTATTTATTTGTACTTGACTGCTGCCTACATTACAGCGACACATTTTCACGTACAAAAAGATAACTAATATTATATGAATCCTTTCTAAAATCCGTAACTATGTATTTGTGGTCTACTGTTTTGAGAAGGTAATTTTCCAACTTTTGTGTATTTTTTGACTTTCAGCTAAACACATCATCAAGATTGATGGGAAAGCAGGACTGTTCAAAGGGCTCGGTCCCAGGCTCTGTGCCGGCTCCATCGGAACCATAGTGCACAGCAGAGTACTGCAGGTAGGACTGAATACATCGTACTGTAGCACACATTTAGCTGGTTCCTCAGATAGAAGTAAGGATACAGTAATGGTAATACAGGGTGTCTTAAAAAGTATTAAAAGCTGATAAATCAATTTAGCGAAAATTAAGGCTATTAAAAAGTATTAAACAGCATTTTCCAAGGTATTAAGAAGGTCCACAGCAACGACAACATGAAACACCCTTTAATTTACTGAAACGACATGTCGGGAAACTCCCTCAAGGCGGCCCCATGCATAGCGCGCCACTCCGCTCTCTTCTGTCCCCATCGAGAGAAGAGAGTCTGTCGATGGGGATCAAAGCTGTCCGGTCCCACATGCTAAGTTCTAGCCAGAAAGCCGTGGCGTTTAAGTCCCGACTCTCCTGATGGCCAATCCGTGCCTCCCCTGACTGCACGTCGCTGACACACACCGCTGCAGTGCAGGCTCTCTGCACGGAGGAGCCGCGGAGGAGCTGCGGAGGAGCAGCGGAGGAGCAGCGGAGTCCGGGCGATGCTGCTCCTCCAAGGAAGAGACACATGTTCACAAAGCCAAACTATATCCGGTCACAGAGATCTGCTATTTTAAAGTAAACACATATCGACCCTAAATATAGTCTATATTAAGAACGAGAAAAGTCTTACCATATATATCGTTTTTTGTAAACATATGACAAATGTGTGAGGGTGATGACGTCAGAGCATCGTCCTATGCCCCGGACAGCCCGGCCCAATTTAACCCCTGGGTATTTGTGAGGGAGCTCCTATATGGCATTACCCCGCTGAAGCTCACCAAAGTTTAACATATTTCATAGTTCAAAGTTTTGTCAATTGTTTTGTTTATTGGTCAAATACTGGTTTCTAATGGTTTCTGAGGAGTTTTACTGGAATGAAAGAGCACAGAGTACAGAAGCAACAAAGCAGCATACTGCATTAAACCTGACCTTCACAGAGAGGTTGAAGTTCATGTGGAAAGGAGGCTTCAGTAGTCTGTCTGCACTCTGTTTAGTTGTGCTATCTTACAATCAATATACCGTAATTTTCGGACTATAAGCTGCGCCTTTTTCCCCATTTTTCGACGCTGCGGCTTATATAACGGTGCGGCTAATCTATGGATTTTTACAGCTAACGGCCACTAGGGGACCTCCTAAATCTATGGATTTTACAGGTTACAGTCCACCACCTTTAACTCTATGGGCTCTATGGCCGGTCCGCGGACCCCCACCTTTAAGCGGCGGGTTCCAGCAGGAAAAGCTGGAGGCCGGAAAAGAGTGAGACGGGTAGCGCGCAAAAGTAAAAGTGGAACCGAGAGTGGTATGCCGCTGCTGCGGCTTATATTCAGGTGCGCCTTATAGTCCGAAAATTACGGTAGTAAATGTGAGGTAAAGTGTGTCGCCAATGTAACCGGTTAGAACTCAAAGTTGCGATGAGGTCTTAAAATGTATGGAAAGGGTCTTAAAAGGTATTACATTTGACTTCAGGATTCCTGCATATACCCTGTAATAATACAACACTTTTTTGTATAGCACCTTTCATTCAAGGAAGAAGCCCAAAGTGCGACAATAAAGCCTAATTAGCCCAATTTTTAAATACAATTTTTAAAAGATGGGTCTTTAATACTTTTAATCTTTATTTCAAGTGAGGCTGTTCCACATTTATTAATTAGGCTTTTTTTTGCATCATTTATAAACTGATTAGACTCGATGTGTGTAGGTTGATGTTAACCGCTCATCTAATTTAAATCAGGATTTATATGCAGCAAACTGATATCTGAACATCCTGAATGATGCCTGATAAATGGATTTCATTTAATGTTATTAAATTAAGAAGATTAAACTAATTTCTTAATGTAAAGTATTTATTCAGATCCTTATGAATCCTTCAGTTGTATCATATTAACCTCTAGTTTCTTACAGAAATGTCAGGAAGAAGGCACACTTCAGGTAAGAGTTTTTAGTCTGATTAATTGTTTGTGCCATTACAACATACTGTGATGTGGATGGTTCTGAGGTTTGTTCTGTTCTCCAGGTTCTGGGAGGTCAGCAGAAAGCTGCCGAGGGCTCCCTGCAGCACGTTGTTAATGAGGTACCATTCTCACACACTACACTTATACTGTGGGACTGACAGAATGCCATACTCTGTCTGTTTACTCTATAACACTGTTCAAATAATGACAGCCTATCAGAGTGTATTGAAGCCGGGCAAAGTCCTCCCACAACTCTCACTTCTCTCGTTGTAGTCGGCAAAAGGTTAGAAAAACTCAGGGTTTCTCAAAGTGCCAAACACAGTGACATCTGGTGGTTTATAAAACGTATAGCAGCCGTATCGCAACACTCATTTTTAATCGTCTTAGTTTGTGCTATAAAATTCCTGCAAGCATGCGTGTTCTTATTAAATCTGTAACACTTCAGTTCTGTGCTGCGTTAGCCCCCTAAACACACAACCCGCTAGCAGGTTTGAATGGCATGCTTGCTTCTAGGGATGCCAGCGATTTTTCGAATATTCGTTACAGTCTCCATAATCAAAAATTATTTTTTAACCCTCCGGTATCACTGTGGACGTTTTTGTCCATATGGGTCACTTTTCATTTTGCAATAACTTCGGTTGTGTTGGTGCAAATGGCCTGATTTTTTGTAACAAGGCTATTTTCTCGATCTATTTTGGAATTCCAATTTCAATTTTTCAAATCGGTCTTTAATTCACTGTGTAACAAATCGACTAC